AAAGCTAAAAAATTGATATCACCACGTCCGCGTTGTAGACATATTGATGCAGGTGGGGATTGAAAGCGAAAATGTAGAATGTTATCTAGTTTGCTGCCAACAGTACATCTTAAATAATAATATTAAAAAAAAGGAACAAGATAATCAAACCATTGGCAACTACATTGCCTATTACTCACTGAGGACCACAGTTGTTTGGCCTAATAACATATGTTACATTAGCTAACATTCACATTGTATCATATACATGCAAACATATCAGGTTCCCTACTAGACGCAACAGGTAATATCGACTTATTATGGATCTCAGTTCATTCTGTAGAGAGATATGGATAGAAACAAAAAAAGGGTATTACAAAATGCATAGTTAAAACATACCCAAGTTATTGGCATTGATAACACATTAACAAAGATTACATTATGAAATAGCTTCCATGTGTAATTCAACTAATCAAGAGTATCGCCAGGGAATATGATAATTTCTGCCATTGCTTTCAAAGAAAAACTCATACCTGATATTTGTCTGAAACCATATGCCGGAGTCGCTGATAATAAACAGGCCCAATAAATATCTCACACGTTAGTTCTGTCCCGTAAACTCCACTGTACAGGACCTCTAAACCATGATAATTAAACCCACAATCAGTTAACATGGAACCTAGTTCATCGACAAGCGAACTGGATTTATATTCGTTGCCTGAGTTAGCCTTCTTATCTGAGCTTGCAAATGGTGTTGCATCGATAAACTTTCCATGTAAGCAACCTCCCTACAACAGACATATGTAAGCTCCACAGTATATTGATTAGCCATGCACTACTAAGCGAATGAAAAGATAAGAAATTCTGTAGAAGTATAGCCAAGGGCAACGCTCAAGGTGCAAGCATTCCAACATAAACTACTGCACGGATGACACGACTTAGGCACTCTAGTAGCAAGTAAGCAGCATCAGCACGTTTTTAAATCTCCCAATATTATGCAGTCTTATCACAAATTATTAGGTTCTACAAGTATCTAAAAATTAAGGAACAGGAGAATTCTCTCTCTCTCTCTCTCTCAGGATACCAACTTCAAAGGCAAGATAATTTAGAGGTATTCAAAGTACACAATTTTCAGCAATAAGTACAACTACTTATAGAAGTATAATGCTCCTGTCTCTCCACGTTTCTCTACTTTCTTATATTTTCTTTTCCCTTCTCTTCCCTGGTCTATACTCTCTTCTTTTATTATTCTCCATGAGTAGTAAGAGGTATATAAAATGGGTATGACAAACAACCATCCCTGGGTCATTATGGAGGAGTTTCAACAAGCAATTCTATAACAATAGGATGAACTTCCAACCATACCTACCGAAGAAGATGACACTTTGTAATCCATAATTACGACTGCAAGTGAACCACATAATAACCTGTGTGCAGCTCGCCTCAAGAGTAGCTAATGTTTGTTCACTAGTAATTGCCTAAAGCCACGGTGTTACTCGTAAATAAGTTATAAGCATTTGCCCATACATAAATGCAAGGTATAACACAAATGTTTTTAAAAATTTTGACAAAATATCTTCTAAAAACATGTCATTTGACCAACATCAACCTGCATGCATGCATAGCATATATAATTAAATCTTTATGAAACGAAAGTAATGTTATAACTACTGAAACATAATAACTACAATACGTCAGTTGTCAATGTTCAACATCCATTATAAACTTTATCTAAAATTCAAAAAAAAAAAAGTCCACAAACATTACTACTAACAAAATAATAATAGAATTCACAACCTACTGGAATGAAAATTGCAACAATACTCTCACAGACAAAGTAAATATCTAGATGCTGTCAAATGACCAAATTTTATTATTAGAAATTTCACCAACCTTCAAAAGAATGTATACGACTTGAATTTTTTTTTTTATAGGTAGATGTTTTTTGATTCTTTAAAAACAAACATTTTTTCCTTTATCCAAATTTAAATAATAAAAATATTTTTACCTGAAAAATATCTGTTCGGATATTCATTGTATCTTAGTTGAGTTGAGTCTTCGCTTCTTATGCTCGTGAACAAATTAGGTTAGTTTTGATATACGGTAATGTCTAGTCCAATTTTATCATATCTATAAAGCCATTCTTGAACTTCTTATGAATTATGTCAATTGGCTATGTAGGTGAAAGAGTGTTAACAATAACATTATTCGGACTAAATCCTTCTTGCAGTTTGTAATATAATGATTTTTTCTTTATTATATAATCTTTGACGTTTGATCCTTGTTCCATTTTCTCCTACTCAAATTGTATCCATAATAGATGGATATCACGTTTCGCTAATAATTGTACAAACCGTACTGTGTTGGTTGGTTGGTCATCTCAAATTTTTTTGCCTTTGCAAAATTATAAGTTGTGGGAAGAGTCTGTTATTTTATGCATAATATAATAATGACGTATATTTTTCCCAACCATTTGACCTATTTAATTTTTCTAACCCAAACTTTGAGATTGGGGTTACATCTTCAAATTTATCTAAGTATATTTGATAGCGCAACACGTGTACATAGATACGAGGTCGTTCTATGCTGTCTATACATAATATAAAAGATATAAATTAAAGTTGTAATAATCACATTAGCAACAGATTAACAAATATTACACCAAACAAAATAATATTATCCTCACCCATGTGATCAAATAAGAATAATAACACATCAACAGAAAAATTAAAATAATGATTAGTACTGCGAAGATGCCTTAAAATCAAGACGCTGACAAACATGCTGAAGTATTTATGCAATTTATAGAATATAGACACTAAATAATTATTCAAATCACCATCATATCATAGTCAAGACTACGCATAATTATTTACCATCACAACTGACATAATAGTAGTAATCACAAACATACAAATAATTAAGTATCAGGTTTAGTGTTAAATATTCCAGAATCAAACATATGATTTAATTTCACGGAATACTACATTTATATGTAGTATTAAAAAATGTAGTCAATGAATCATTCTTCCAATATGTCATTGAACTATTCTAATGTTCTTGTGTCAATACATATGCGAAATCGCAAGTTAGGAGAATGCACAACAACCTAATTCTACAACAAATCTTAGTGGAATATATTACTTATAAAAAAGTACAATTCGTTACAACAGTGTACGGATTGGGTTACCTTATTACTATAATTCCATCGATGAAATCGCGTTGTATTTATTCTTTTCATCTCTTTAGTCAATTCACACTAATCCAACAAATATTGAATTATAACGTAAAATTAACGCTTTTATTTTATTTTATGCATAATTTGCTCCTATTGAATACACATGTAATTAAAATAAAAGCGTTAAGTTTACGATATAATTCAATATTTGTAGGATTGGTGTGAATTGACATCTGACTAAAGAGATGAAAAGAATAAATATAACGTGACTTCACCGATGGGAATATCGTAATAAGGTAATCCGATCCTTATACTGTTGTAGCGAATTATATTTTTTTATAAGTAATATCTTCCTCTAAAATTTGTTTTTCTTTATGTAAAAATATAATGTTGTGCATTCTCCCAACTTGTGGTTTAGCATATGTATTGGCACAAGAACATTTAGGAAAGTGATGAAGAGAAAGTTCAATGACATACTAAAATAATCCATTAACTACATTTTTTAATACTACATACAAATCTAGTATTCCGTGAAGTTAAATCATATGTTTGATTCTGAAATATTTAATATTAAACTTGATATTTAATTATTTGTATGTTTGTGATTATTATTATTATGTCCGTGGTGATGAAAAATAATTATGTGTAGTTTTAACAAAGATGTGATGGTGAATTGAATAATTATTTAGTGTCTATATTCTACGAATTGCATAAATAGTTTGGTATGTTTGCTAGCATCTTGATTTTAAGGCATCTTCGCAGTACTAATCATCATTTTAATATTTCTGTTGGTATGTTATTATTCTTATACGACAACATAGGTGAGGATAATATTGTTTTGTTTGTTGTAATGTTTGTTAATTTGTTGCTAATGTGATTATTACAACTTTAATTTATATCTTTTATACTCCGTACATATAACATAGAATGACCACCTATCTATGTGAGTCGTAGTACGCGTATGACGTTATCAAATATACTACATAAATTTGAAAATGATTCCCCTGAAAATGGAACCCCAATTTCAAAGTTTGGGTTGGAAAAAATTGAATTCGGTCGTATGCCACAGATGACAGAGAAAAATATAAGTGATCATTATATTGTGTATAAAATAACAAAGACTCTTCCCACATTTTGGAATTCTGCAAAGGAAAAAAAATTCGAAATAACCAACTAACCAATACAGTACGTTTTGTACAATTATTAGCGGAAGCAGAACGCGATATCCATCCATTATGGATACAATTTGAGCAGGAGAAAATGGATCCAGGATCGAATGTTAGAAACCATATAATAAAGAAAGAAACATTATATTACAAATTGCAAGAAGAAGAATTTAGTCTGAATAATCCAATAACGTTATATGTTGTTGTTAACATGCTTCCACCTACATGACCAATTGACATAATACTTAAGAAGTTCGAGAATGACTTTATAGATATAATAAAATTGAAGGAGACATTAGCGGATATCGAAAATGACCTAATCTATTCACGAGCATTATAAGAAGTCGAGGATCAATTGAGAAACAGTGAACATCCAAACAGATGAACATATACTTTTCAGGTAAAAATATTTTCTCTATATTTTTATTTGAATGTAGATAAAAGAAAAAATGTATGTTTTTAGAGAATGAGAAAACATCTAAATGTAATTTTTTTTTCAGGTCGTATACATTCTTTTGGAAGTTGGTAGAATTTTTGATAGTAAAATTTGATCATTTGACTGTATCTAGACACTTACTTTGTTTGTGAGAGTATTGTTGTAATTTTCATTCCATTAGTTATAAATTCTATTGTTATTTTGTTAGTAGCAGTGTTGGTGGACATTTTTTTTTAATTTTAGATAAAGTTGATTATGGATGTTGAAATCGTAAATATTGAATCAACAAACAGTTCATTGAACATTGTCAACTGACATATTCTTTTAGATATTTGAATTATTATGTTTTAGTAATTATAGCATGACTTTTGTTACATAAATATTTGATTATATATGTTATGCATGTAGGGTTGATGATGGTCAAATGACATGTTTTTAGAAGATATTTTGACAATTTAAAAAAAAAAAATTAGTTGGCTCATTTTTATTTGTCGTTTGTTGAAATTTTGTTATACCTTGCATTTATGTATGGACAAATGTTTGTAACTTATTTACGAGTAACACCATGTCTGGTTTTCCTAGTTTGTTAAGGCTATGTGTTTAACGTAATACTACTATGATGCCAGGTTTGTGTATCTAATGAAAAAAAGGCTAGTTAATCTTTTTCCACAAAAAATGACTCTAGGATCACACTCTTAAGGGAAAAAAAGGGTATATTTGACTAAAGCATTTGGTTTTGCTTCTCCTTGGTTCAACCATCATCGACTCTTTCCTCTCCAATCTTTGCATTTCTAACTCACTAGCAATCATCTTAGGGCTTGTCCAAATCTCTGAGGTGATTTTGTATGTAAGATCTCTCTCTCTCTCCCCCACCCCACACCCCCCCCCCTCCAAAACACACACACACACACACAAGGGCTTGTGTTTTATTCAGGAAGGTTTGTAGTTGGTTAGGGTTTCTCCTAATGTAGAGGTGTTTGCTTAAATGTATCAATATTTGGATGATTTAGCCTTACTGCAGAATAGGCTGCCCAAATTAAGTAGTTATATATTTGGATTCAATCATGGCGTGTTAGTGTTTTGGTTTGGTTTTCCAACAAGCCAGCCAATCCAAGCTTGAAGTTCGAGGAAAAAGGAAACCAAATCACAAACATATTTTAGGACCAAGTCGCAAAACTGGGTTGAACACAAACATTCTTAGTGACCAAGTGAGCTGACATGAATACTTCTAAGCTAGGCTCAACTTGGTTCATTTGCAGACCTATCCACACTGAAGAGGGTCCCACATGGAAGGTTCTTGTTAAGTGTAAAGGCAAACCAACAATAGCCAGCACATGGACCACACTTGCTGAACTACAACGGATTGACCGCATTCTCTACATGTGGCACATGCAATCCAACTCATCGGAGAGCTATTTGCAATAGGGGGACGTTATGCCGCCCTGAAGCCCTTGAGAATGTATCAGTGTAGCAGGAAAAGGGGAGTGCAGGGATGGAATGGAACGAGCAGTTAGTTTGTGCTTATTTTATTGGGTTTGAGAAGTCATTATGTCTGATTTATTTCCTGTTGAGAGGATCTCTTATGGTTAAAGTGTACTTTGGGGATCATAGTAGACATTATAAAAAGATTAATAGCAGTAATGAATTCTTGCTTCTTTGTTGCTACAGCTACTTTAAAGTTTTGGGTGATTTAATTTAATTTTCTTATCCATCTACTGTTCTGCTTGCTTTCTCCACACCGTTGCATCACACACACACACACACACACATGCATGGCAGCTTTAGGAAACACAACCCTATAAAAATTTTTGTGCTGGAAGTTGGTCGTGAAAAGCTTTCAGTTTTACATTTTTAGTATATAAAAGAAGGATAACAGGTTTTATGGAAGGGAAGGGGTTGAATTTGGCTTACTCTTCAAAGTGACTGGTCAAGTGTGCAGGAATTTTTGTGTATGGCAACAATTTCAGGATCTAGATGAGAATTTGATGGTCAAAGGGTTACAAATGGCTTGCTGGGGCAGAGTAATAGTTTGTGGCAAAAATAGTGTTTTGGGGCAGTGAACAGAAAAGCTGAGAATACTGAACTTCGATTTTTTTTGAAATTTTTTGGTTCCAAGGTAAGAATATTGATGAAGCAATTTTAGAATTTAACATGGGCAGTCAACAAGGTTTGAATCTACGTTAAAGGTGTAAAAAGAATTGAAAAAGAAAAAGAGGTAGAAGAATTTTCAAAAATCAGCCCAGATAAAACTTCAAAAGCTTCAATAATTCTCCAAAACTCAAGTCATGTCTTCACTATCAAGTTAAATTATATGAAAATCTTGGCAGATGAACTCAACTAATTTTGTGGAGACAAGGAGTTCAAACTTAGGAACTCGCGACTCATTGACTCCAGGAGTATTCTACATTACCCTAGAAAATATCTTTCCAAATTGAGCTCCATAGAAAAAAAATTGAACTTCAAATTGAAAACACACACTGCAATTTGCTGGAACAGGGGAAAATGAAAAATAAAGAGGCATGAATGCCAGCAAAGGTCTTCCATATTCAAGAAATATATGTTCAGTGTGCTTCAATGGAAGACTTGAAAATCATGAAATCAGACATGCTCTGGTGCCCCTCTGTCCCAGGGACTGTGACAGGGATCACATTTAGACCCATGTCATGGACACACTGACATGAACAATCTAAGTAGTTGACGGTCTAACATGGCTTACCCCGGTAACACAGCGCATCTAATAGTGGTTAAGCTTTTCCTCTTATACAAGAATAGGGTTGAATTCCAAACCTTTATCGACTTGTGTTAAGCTTATTCTCTTATTGAAATGTTAACACTTTTGCTAATATATTACCCTACAACAAATACAGGACAGAGATAGTTACAAAAATTAGCATACTTTCACCAAGTAACATATGCAGTTACAAGTAGCATACAGGACGCAGATACTTACAGTAAAAACATAAGCAGTTGCACGCATACATGCTTATCTCAGGCAAAAGCCCAAGAAGCATACTTTCACCCGGTAACAATAAGCCAACAAAGTTATGAGCAGGTTGACAATGTAAATACATCACATCCAAACTTAGGAAGAATAACTCTTAAAATAAATACACAACCAGGGCTAGAAAACGAAAACAAGCACAACAAAAACTTGAAAAAAAAGAAGGATAAACATGCATGCTAAGAAACTGTACACTTGACTTTCAGAATTATTAACATTATGTGCCAAACATGTCCTCCTGATACAAGGTGTGTCAAGTGTCGACACATATTTTGGCTTTTGCAGCTTTGTTTGCTTGAAAGATGTGAAAACTTGGGCTAAAAGAGAAGAAGAAAATGCCAAATACAATTGGAAAACCACTCTGTGAAGTTAGTGGAGGAAGGAAAAGAGACGGAGTGATGCAGAGATGCCTCTAGCACTGCCATCCAAATGAACTGTCCCTTTTTATCATTACTTTTCTCTAAGATTTATTCCTGTACGTAACGCAAGGCTATGTTGATAAGCAAGATGTTCTTCGTTGTATTGGAGATCATATCAGAAGACGAGAGGGGAGGATGAGGAGATGACCAACTCCATTTAAGACAAAAACATTCCTATATTGTGTCTAGATAGTGTCACCCTGTAGTAGGGGACATTAGCATCCCCCTTCTCACACTCATAAACACACACACACTCAGCAATTGAACAATTCTACTTCTATAATTCCACACCCAATTAATGGATAATCATAAACACAAGGTTGGTACTATTTTCTAGGCAAGTAATTTCACTACATGGCAGACGGTAAAGCAACAAATATGACTATGCTTACTAGTAGTACCTTAGCAGCAATGGACTCCAAAAGCATTGCAATTGTCATCCTCGAAGGAAATGCATGAGGATTGATAATAAGATCTGGACGCATTCCTGTAACTCCTGAAAACGGCATGTCAATATCTGGCCACAGTTGAGAGCAAACACCTTTCTGCCCATGCCTACTACTAAATTTATCACCAATTATAGGATTCCTAGGACGTCGAAAACATATGTTTGCCTGTTTAAAAGAAGAAATATATATTAAAGAGTGCAAATTGCCATATGATTTTGGGTGTAAGAAACATATGGAATGAAGACCAAGCATTATTAAATCATGGAGAGATGCCAATTGTTTAATGTGGTCAGCTTTCAATATTTTTCTTGAGTGTTATGTTAAGGACACTGCTACTACTCAGCTGAGACATCAACCACCACAAGACTGCAACTACACAAAAATGTCAATTCTATTTTGTTAGTTTATTTTATTTGTGGGCCATCAGTATTTTTTTAAAAACAAAAACATCAATAGTTTTTAAATCTAATTTAATAATTAGATATATCAATATTTTCAATTTCAGATTATTAAAACTAAATGTTACAACTACATTAGATTTATATTCAGATTACTTATTTATTGAATAAATATTTGAAGTATAGTATTTTAATAATCAAAAAAATTATAAATCAAATATAGTATCAACTTTTATGGATATGATCAATCTTCTACTGGTAATGACTATGAATATCGTGGTTTTGGATACTATCAACATGGGAACCAACCAATACAACCTCCACAGTCATACTAGTCTAATTATGAATCATTTAGCCAATCATCTCAATCAAACCAGTATTCACACTTGTATTCTTATCCTTATAGTGGACATTATCCTAATATGTATTATCCTAGAGGCAATAATAATGATTTTGAGCCTCATCGTCATTCAATATGGCAATAATTATGGCTCAATATGTTCTTAAATGTTGAATATGAACACTTACAATGATAATTATTTTTGGTAGCGCCCTTATGTTTCATTTTAATTATGTTTGACGTATTTTTAGATGTATTGTGGACATATGATGCGCGATGTTTAAATTTTCTGAAATTTTTTATGATTTTTTTGGAGATTCCAATTAGCGTTTTGAGTGTACCAGCCAATACCATGTCGCAACCGATGTGTATCAGTGCCTTCAAAGTCGATGGATGATGCTGCGACTTTGAACCATGCCACCACGCCACTCGTAATAAGAAGCAGGTGGAGATTCTATTATGACTTCATAGGGCTGGTTTTGTTGTTGCTTGCGAATAGGCCATCCCCCACTCCCGTCCTAGGTGCTAAGTGGCTTTTGTTTTTGGAAGAGACGATAGTGTTTTGCTGACACCTCAAATCAAACTTTTGTTGCAACATGCTACATTTTCTCTCCCATTGCTAGTAAGTTGATGGGTCGCATACTCGATCCATGTTTTGGCCTGGTGTGTTCATAACTAAAAATAAGTAACCTAAGAGGAGGTGGTATTGGTTGATGGATGACCGTATTTTAGTATTTGCCGACTCCATTGTCACATCAAGGTGATGGGATTCGAACCTATGACCCTTCGTATCCACAACAAATGTGCTAAACAAATTGCGCTACACCTCGTCACACCACCCTGAAGCACATAGATCCACCTTATGAATGAACACCCAAATTGCACTAGCCCATCCTTTAAGCATTGGCGGCACAAGAACCAACTCGAGTAATCAATCGCTTTTCTAGTAAAAAATCTGCCTCAGCGAGATAAGGCAATGCCAAAAAGTGGTATAGTCCAAAACTTCTCAAATTAGTTGGCTTACTCTTCCACTAATCTCTGAACATTTAGTAGTGTGCATGGGATTGCACATTACAACCTCGGCCTCCAATTCGACCACCACCGTGTCCACGACATCAAGTCAACTTACAACAAAACTCCCTAGTATGCCTAGCCATTCCACGATAATTACACTCTGCGATCTCCTTGGCAATATCACTTGACTAAGTGGACTTGGATTGGAATAAGCTCAAGTCAAATTGAGGCATAACAGTCAATGCCGACATTTCCTGGAGGGCATGAACAAAAGCAATCCTCCCACTCACATCCTACTAAATATGAGAATAGGCCTCTAGCAATGTTGGAAATGAACTACGACCCAAAATCTGTACCCGAATCTGATTATACTCAATGTTAAGACCAATAAAAAAGTCATGCACTCATTCTTCTCGACTTATGTGGAAATTATGTGGCATCCTTAGCACAATCTGTTTGAAAATTTGGGAAAGATTCACAATAATAGCTTAATACAAAAATGCTATAAATTTTCATGTATCATGTTTAAGCACAAAACTGAGAGTTAATTACAAAATGTCCACTTCAAGTTTATGTCATGTTACAATCAACTCCATCAGGTTTTTATTTAGATAATTTGCCCTCTTAATGTTGGAATATTTTTTAATTAATTCCTATATTAAAAATGATAGAAATTTAAAAGGAAAACTTTAAAAAAATATTCTAATTCCAAGGCAACTTGGCCACACAAAAATCCCTGCTCAAACCCAACCCTAACTTCCACCGGCGAAACCCCAACTCCATCCCTCTTCCGGTGAAACCCAACCCCACCCCCACCCCAAACAACTGAACTCCCTCCCCTCTTTTGGTGAACCCTATCCCTTCCTTCCACCGGTGAAACACAACTCCCTCCTTCGATGAAACCCACTCCCAAAATAAATTTACCTCCATTGGGCAACCCCCAGCTGGAGGGAGAGAATTAGTCTGTATAGAGCCAATGGTTGCATCGCGATTGAGTTTTCGGACTTGATAGCTGTGCCATGGTTGATTGGATAGAGATGAAGGAAATAGGAAAAAAGGAGATAGCCGCGCCCAAACCACGTTTATCGTAGTGTTGAGCTTGCTTGTTTAATAATGGGGCACGTGAGACAGTCGGAGGTGGGGGTGGGGGTGGGGTTTGAGAGATTGTATGGTCGAAGCTGCCGGAGGTGGGTTTTGGGGTACTATTAGCATTGGAGAAGAGGGGGTGGGGGTTTGGGGGCACCGCCAGAGTAGGGGTTGGGGTTGCCGTCGAAGTACGGGAATGGGATTAGAAGCATCAAAGATCATGGGGAAAGGGGTTGGGTACAAAGAGAGAGAAATAGACTTAAATGTTGAGGTACTTTGAATTTTGTGATTTCCATCCCCTCTCTCAATTAATTGAAATCCAAATAAACTTTAAGGGGCTTAATTGTCGAAATTCAAACCTAAGGGAGTTGATTGCAACTTAACCCAAGCTTGGAGGAGATATTTTGTAATTTAACCCTAAAACTGAATATCAACATTACAGATAGCAATAGTAAAAATTAGCCCATCAAATTGTAGGGATAAATCATTTGAGACCATCAAACCTCAATGGGAAACATTTGATATCTATCTAAAACAGGAACTTCTTTAAATAAACATAGCAACACATGCAAATAACACTACATGTATTTTGATAACATAATTTTGTGATACAAGAGTGAACATGGATAACTTAAAAATATTTATCTAGGTAATTATAATGTTAGAGATAATATGCGTGTCAGAGAGAGAATGAAAAACTCACTTTTTGTAGATTCTTTTTGTTTTTCACATCTACAGCAACATAATCAACAATAACAGGTTCTGAACCCTTTAACTTGGTAGTTGTAGCTGTACTTGTTACTTCATCGTAGATGCTACAATATGGCTCATTTGGATTTATCCTCTGAAAGTTGGTAGTCAGAAAATTAATCAACATTGCTAAAATTTAGATATTCAAGAAACAGAGAGACAGTCCAAAACTTAAGGCTAACCTGCCCGACATATGGGAGCCCATCTAAATCAATCACAGAATGTGATGACTTGTCAAGATTGCTTCTCCTAAAGATTCTCTGAGAACGATCTAGCTTACCACTTTGTTCAGCCAAGTCAATGGTTTCTGTCTGCACAATAGCATTTCATAAATATTAACAAGCACTAAAGTAGCACAATAATAGAAAAGAAAAAAGAAAACTGGCAATTAACTACCATTTCCATCTCTTTTGGATCAACAACTGACTCAACCATATCTACTAGTTAAATACATGTCCTTTCTTTCTTGTAAAAAAAGGCTATGACGGTATTGATGCTACCACTGGTGCTTTGCCGCCCCCACTAAAAGAGGTACAGGAAATAAGCTATTGAAGCTGCTACTTGTGCTAGTTAATCCATAATGAAGGTACGAGTACTAAAGCATTTGCCATTAGCTCAATTAATGATGCTATAGGGCTACAGATCTAGTACGATATATAGGGTCTGTTTGGTTTGCATCTTAAAAAACGATATCTGAAAATAATTTTTGAGAAGAATTTTAAGAAAGTGTTTTTGAAAATTTTTAGATTGCAAAATCTGTTTGGTTATACATTTTTGAAAATAATTTTAAAGAATAAAAAATTGTAAAATCTGTTTGGGCAATAATCTACAAAACCCCACCTTTATCTTTCTTTCCTCTCTCTCTATGTTCACAAAACCTACACACACGCACACAAACATAAACACATATAGACACAGACCCATACACACAGATTTGAGCACACAAACAGAAAACGGGGGGAGACGCCGGAGATCTGTGTGTGTGTCTTGAACCCAGACGCAGAAAAAAGATAGCCACAATCTTCATATTCATTAAAGAGGAGGAGATGGAGAAAACAGGCCCCAAGTGAAGGGCTATTATACTTCAACAAAAAAAATGTATTTTGTTGCTAATGAAGTTTGATGGATGAACCTCATTAAAGAGGAGGATTTGTTTTCATTATTTTCTATTTTAGCCTAAAAACTCAGAAAACATCATTTTGTTGTTCTCTAAAATCACATCTCATTTTTCAAAATTTTCAAAAAATTGAAAAACAAAAAAGCTAAACAAATATCTTCATTGTTTTTAGAGTTTTGATAACAAAAAACTATTTTTGAAAACCAAACAGGCCTACAATTTTTTCACAAATAAAATCTTAGAGAACAAAAACATTGTGCATTTAATATTGTCCCTCAAGCGTTTGTTTATAACGAGAAGTAAGCTTCAGGTTTTGGTTTTTCTTTGAATAAAACATGCTGATCATAATGAATGAATGCATATTTTATGGAGCACAATTGCACGAAGATGTTTGTGTAAAAGTATAAATATTTAAATTACACACCCTCTGACAACTTAAACTTTTAAAATAGATGGTTATTTAATATGCTATCATAGCAGAAGGTCCTGTGTTTGAATCTCACTGCTACCCTAATAATTAAACCCTCTCTAACAACTTAAGTTTTTAGAGTAGATGATTGTTTAACATAATATCATAACATATCAACATCGTTTAAATGATGTGCTTTTTCAATTCAAAATGGAAGTTCCAGGCTAGTGAGCCTTCTAAAATCGACTGACGTGTGACCTAGTTTCGGTTCAACATCAGATTTGTGTTCTTTGTTACTTTGATTTTTATTTTTTAGCCCCACCATATCTATTCCTGCGTCTAAGTTACATCAATATCGTATCCAAGACTGAAAATATATGTTCGATATATAAAATGCGTATGCATCCTCACGTATTCGACACTTCAACCAAATTGAAATATCCATGCTTCTTGCATCTGGCCTTTCTCCTACCATCTTCCACTTTTCAGTTTCGCGGCACTCTTGTCATTCAAATTCAAATCCATTTGGTGAGGTATCCCTTCATCTTCTTTCTTGTCTTCTTGTGTGGGTACCCTATAAACTAAGAAGCACGGATAAAGAACGAGATACGAATACAACGATATGACAAAATTTTAAAAAATAGGATATAGCCACGACTAGGATACGTCTTGTCATTCAAATTCAAATCCATATGGTGAGGTATCCTTTCATCTTCCTTCTTGTCTTCTTGTGTAGGTACCCTATAAACTAGGAAGCACGGATACTGAACGGGATACAAATACAACGATACGACAAAATCTTAAAAAAGAGGATATAGCCACGGCTAGGATACGTGTATATATATAAGCTAAAACAATTTATGATGCTGACATAGAGACTGCTTAATGGTATTTTCAATCCTATGTTATATATAATTCTAAAGCTAAACATATGTCACCCTTTTAATTGCAATAGACTTCATTGGCTTAAACATAAGCCATGAAAACTCATTATTTAAGCCAAGCAAATTGTAAAAAATTGACAAAACCGGTGACATGTGATGAAGGTCCAAATGAACATCTTTGAACAAGAAATTCCCCTTAGGATGATTAATGGTTTCTGTATAACCCACCTCATTAAGTATAAGGTGAATGTATCCACTGTGGAGATACGTGTATCCGAAATGTATCTAACAAGTATCCAACAATAATAAATATTTTATTAATTATTCAATATATGCATAAAGCATCCAATACATATTCGCAATTATTGAAATATGTGCTCCATAACTTGTAAATAGCATACTCATTACCTTGTACTTTTTGCAAAAGCACCCAATCTTATGTTTCTAACCACACAATTAGTCATTTTGTTTCTAATCATCCTCTATCTCTTTTTTTCTTTTGTTTTTTTTATCTCAATTATCCACCATCTTTGTTCTCAGACATTAGTGAAAGTGTTATTTGATCAAAGCAAGGGAGGTGGAAATAGATGTCTTACATCCTAATGAAACTAGGGATTTCATTTTATTACTCCATGGTAAAAGGCCTAATGGTTGTCGTGTGTGTCGTAAATTCCATCGCGATGGTTTGATTGAACATCAAATAGCCCGACTTCATGATGACACTTTTTTCCTTGTCAATAGATTCATCTGTTCGTGTTGATTTCTTTTGTTGCTAACCTTGATTCGTCTTTTGCTTCAATAGGACGCTAAAAATGCTTTTTTTTTTTGCGATGACTTGTGTGAGGAGATTTACATGGAACTATCACTTGGGTTCGTTCCAAGGGGAGTACTATGATAATGTGTATCCATTAAAAAAGTCCATGTAATGTCTAAAACAGTCACCACCCATAGCATGATTTGATAAATTTTCAAAAGCAATTTTAGAGTTTGGCTTTTCTAAGTGTTAGACAGATCGCTCTCTATTCCACTATTAATGACCAATGCAAGTTACATTGCACTAGTTTTTTAAGTGTATAGTATTTTGTTTACTCGAGTTGATTATGTGAATATGCTGAGCAAATTTTTTTTCTAGAACATCAATTTATACTAAGGTGTAAAACCCGAATACACATGACGACCACATAAATAATTATTATGAGTATGAGTATGCATAACGACCACGTAAATATTTATTACGAGCATGATCATGCGATATGACTATGCTCGATAGGTACCTACTAATTAAAAATAGTACATTGCTTGGGTGTGGGATAATTAAATGAGTATATTGCATGTGACATAATTAATTTACTTGATATATGTTAGTGGTGCACATGGGATTAAGTGGGGTGGTGAGCATGTGATATTAATTTGAGTATTAAAAAATAAATAAATTAGTGTGCACAATTGATGGGTCAAAGCTTACCAATATATATATGTGTGTGTGTGTGTGTGTACACAAGGATATATATGTATATATAAATAAATTGTGCAATGTCTATATATATATATATATAAATATATGGATGGCATACACACACACACACACATATATTGTATGCAAGCACATGGGAGTCTTTGTTTCAAAGAAAATGGGTGACTAGGAAGAGGTGGGAGAAAAGTGACAGTTTGGGAGAGAGAAGAAGTGGGAGTGTCATCATTGAGCATGTGTAGGGAAATATAAAAGGAAGAGAAAAAAAAAGGACTCTTCAAGATTTAGCCATTTTTGACATAAGCAGGCCATATTTGGTTACGGCAAGGAAGACCAAGAAAAGAAGAAAGGAAAGAGAGAAAAAGAGTTTGAAGGTAGTCTTGTGGTGATGTTGGTGGTGCAAAAGGTAATGAATTATGTAGATTCGAGTATATTTTGAGAAAATGGTATGAAAATTAGTTAAGCATGCATGTTGGGAATTACTTGAAAATTGATAATTTTGTTTATATATATAGTAGGGTGTTGCATGTAGGTGTTAAAATGATGTTTGATTATGTGTGTATAATACCATGATTTTTTGTAAGGAAATTGATATAAGGTGTAGGTGGGTATGTACCATAAAGTGTTGTTAAAAAGAAATTCAAAAAAGTAAGATTGTTGTATAGAAGTAGAATTTAAATTAAGGGAGGTAATGGTTAAGTGGATAATCTAACAATGGTGTAGAAATATTTCTTGAAAGGTCTAAATTCATGGGTGTATGAAATTGTAAGGAAATATGTATACTTTATAATGTTATAGGAAAGTACGTAAATTCGAGTATATTTGGTGGAAAATGGTAATATTGTGGAAAATATAAAATTGGGTGTTTTGAGTTCGTACAAGTAGTACAATAATGAATTCGAAGAAGTTAACTTAATTTAATTTAAAAGAATTTTACTCGATGTACCGGGTAATTTACATATTTTTGAATATTATCGACTCGAAAAAATCGATTCGAGTATAGAATATTATTTGATGCAAATGAATTATGTGAATCGATGTGATGCAAATATTAAACTTGGTTCGAGTAAATTATCTCGAACTCAATTGATGTTATGTGTTTGAATGAAATTGTGGACATCGAGTGTGTCAAGTCTAGAGACGAACATCGCGAGAAACGCCGCACAAAAGACTCCAACGGATGGATCGTTCACACGGTAGAGCTTTGCACCAGGTAGGTGAACTATCCTACAATATTTTTATATTCTGGTAATTAAGTTATTAGACTGATAATGTTACAAATAGGTTTGTGATTTTTAATGCAAAAGGTGATAATTTAGTTAGGGTGTGGAAGAATATAGTGAGCCTTCGTAATTTAGTTAGTTGGAATTCGTCCCTATGACGGAAAGAAAGAAATTAAGAATATAGATTAGAACACGGACTGTTTTGGGACTAACATTGGTTGCTAGGTGACACTTCGTCCGTGTGACGAGTGTGTCGGTGATGGGGTTCGATTATGTAATTGAGATGTCTGGGGATTAAAACCATATGATTGACAAGACATAAAACCGTCTGAATGACGAGACATAAAACCGTCTAAATGACGAGACATAAGTCTTTGTGACACAAAAACATTCGCGCAATAAGATCGTCGAAGTGACAAAAATTAATTATTGAGATGAACGATCTAAGTGACCGGAAGTAGCTCGAGTATTTAAAATATCTAAGTGATGAACTAAGTTTTACTGCCAAATCGTTTAGGTGACGAGAACGAAAATCGTCGACAGTCACAACTTGTTCGAAATATGAAATTTAGTAACAGGAAATAAAATGTTTAGACGTTGGATTGCATCCTTAAATCGATTGAATTTTGTGGGAATCAAGGATCAAAATTTCGTTTCGAAGTACCGTTTCGGTCAACTCAAAAATAGAAACGTTTCGGAAACATTTCGGAAACGCAATGGAAACGCAGAAAAAATATGAAAACGCATAGAAACACAAATGCAATCCATTAATTTATAAAGATATGCTAAATAATTTATTAATTCAACATATTTATTAGGTTAACATCAATTTATACAAGAATAAATTTAAATTTGAGGGAAAAAAAGGCTTGACTTGAGGCGAAAGTCACTTAAATTAGTTTCAAACACTTAATTTTTATGAAATAAACACATTTTTACATAATATTAAGGTCTTATAATACACATGAAATGCTAATGAGTACATACTTACATGGTTACATCCATTCCCCTGTGGAGTGTCGAGCAGGCTCATACATCGGTGTAGGCTCTGGGTAGCTACTTAGAGAAACTCCATATGTGACATAAATATGAGGACAATAGTTACTCCAAATCATATTATTACGGTAATATAATCCAATTAATAATACTATTTTATTATAATACTAATAATGAAGGGTATCAAATTAAATTAATGATACTTATGTATACTTAAAAATTAAATGTAATTGCAGTGAGTATTAAATGTAATTACAGTAGGTATTAAATATAATTACATTAGGGTATTAAATGTAATTGTTAATACTTATAACAAAAAAAAAAAAAAGCAAAAAACTTGCACAGCAGTGAGGTATTAAATATAATTACAGTATGTATTAAATATAATTATAATGGGTATTAAATATAATTATAGTAGGGTATTAAGTGTAATTATTTATTCTTATAACAAAAAAATTATAAAAGACAGAAGAGCAGTGGGAATTAAATGTAATTATAGTGGGATATTAAATATAATTATAGTGAGTATTAAATGTAATTACAGTGGGTATTAAATATAATTATAATGGGGTATTAAATGTAATTATTCATAATGAACCGAATATATCACTGTTTTGTCGAAACGGTTCGAAACAATGCCGTTTCGACCGAAACGGTCCGAAACAGTACCGTTTCGACCGAAACACTGGAATTTTGTGATTCAACTACTGTTTCGTTTCGGAGTGTTGAAATTCCGAAACGTTTCGGACGTGTCGACACGACATTTTGATCCTTGGTGGGAATGTTGCCTGCGCAAAACAAGACGTCTCACTGTGAGACCTTTGAGTTTTCGAGACAAATTACGAGGCTGTTGTTAGTGTATTTCTGTGGTTGGGTTAATACATTATAATATTTGTTGACTATTTTTTTTTTTTTTTTGTGATACAACTGAGTACTCACTAGAGTTTTCTTTAAACTTGTCCAGGTAATTTTGGTTCACCAGCTTGACATCCACTGTCGAATTTAGAAATCGAGTCGGGAGGGGTCATGACTAAATCTGAGTGTGGTCAACTTTTTGGACTATATATTTAACTTTTAAATATTATGGATATACCTTAACTTGTATTTACTTCGTATGGTACCGGGCCGGTGTGCTCGCTTTGGTGTAACCTTTATATTTATATTTAGTAAGTGTTGGACCGACATACTTTTATATTTGAGCTTTGGTATAAGAAGTCAATAGTGTCGTTTTGCCATGGATGGCCTATAACGGTCAAAGACAGGTTTTCACAACAAGTATGTGGTGTATTTATTTCATATTATCGGAATAAAGCCGGGTCGGGGTGTTACAAGGACTTAGCCAAAGTTAAATATTTCAGGGCGTCAAAGTTGCTAGGTTTAAAAAAAGTATCAGTCTATATACTTAATATACTACATGAGGCTGGTTTACTAGGTGACAGACCAGTTTATATTCCAAGAATCGGAATCAAAAACTTATGGTGGATAATGGGCACTATTTGAAAAACATATTGGTTGGAAAGCAACACTATCTCACCATTATTAAACCAGATACCGCATATGCATCAAGTGTTACAGCCAATTAATTTATGGGTGGACATAGAGTACCGTCTGGTGATGCTGCCATTCTTATCCTTTGATAGCTCAAACGAGCCACTAGACTTGAATTGTTGTGTTTACGCAAAGAACACCTCAAAGTGAAACGTTTTACCAATTCTAATTATACTGGGTCTCCCTTAGATCGATGGCTATCTGCTCATATTATACTTTCTTAGGTGGGGTACTTTTCTTTGACAGAACTGCAAAAAGCAATCTGTGGTAGCACGATCCCGTTCAGAAATTGAGTTCAGGGGAATAAAACACACTGAGTGAGTAAACATTGTTATGACATTTATATTCACTAAATTGACTTCTGAATTCAATACGTATTCAATTGTTTGTGACAATTAGGATATGCTTCACCTAGCTGTCAACCCAGTGTTTTACTAAAGCTTTGAATAGTAATCCTCTGACAGTAATCTACCCCAACCCCGGATTATATGACATGATCAAACTTGAAGCCAAGTGTTAGTAAAATATTATTATACTCCTTGTATTTATTCTACCATTTGAGAGTATACTAGTCTTTCTTCTTTGTAACAATATCTATATATAAGAGTTAAGGTGAGAGAAAGGATTAACAAATTATTTTCCTCATCTCACCCAAGCCAACATAACCATATCTTTATTTACAAACCCTAATCATTACAAGTAGTATAAACAACAGAATAACAAATGAAGTAAAAGAAGCAAAGGAAAAAATGAGAGCACAATGCAAAGTCTACAAGACAATAACATGGATTGTTGGATTAGTGGATTTTATCAACTTTTGCAGTAGGACCAGTGTTATTTAAGGTGTAAGCTCATTGAATCGCTACTGTCTTATGGGCCATAAGCACAAGGCACAAAGCAAAGCGCGGGCTTGAGCACATTGTAAATTACAAGTGAATATTTGTTCTTATATCAAAAATATTTCAAGCAAGACACAACAGTATTCTTAATCAACACAAAAGTATTCTTAATCAACTGTCTGCTTCCTCCGATTGCCAAGAGACAAAAGTATTCTAAAGCGCCCCCCTAATACGCGCTTTTCTAGACTCGCCTCACCCAAGGATCAAAATGTCGTGTCGACACGTCCGAAACGTTTCGGAATTTCAACACTCCGAAACGAAACAGTAGTTGAATCACAAAATTCCAGTGTTTCGGTCGAAACGGTACTGTTTCGGACCGTTTCGGTCGAACCGTTTCGACAAAACAGTGATATATTCGGTTCATTATGAATAATTACATTTAATACCCCATTATAATTACATTTAATACCCACTGTAATTACATTTAATACTCACTATAATTATATTTAATATCCCACTATAATTACATTTAATTCCCACTGCTCTTCTGTCTTTTATAATTTTTTTGTTATAAGAATAAATAATTACACTTAATACCCTACTATAATTATATTTAATACCCATTATAATTATATTTAATACATACTGTAATTATATTTAATACCTCACTGCTGTGCAAGTTTTTTGCTTTTTTTTTTTTTTGTTATAAGTATTAACAATTACATTTAATACCCTAATGTAATTATATTTAATACCTACTGTAATTACATTTAATACTCACTGCAATTACATTTAATTTTTAAGTATACATAAGTATCATTAATTTAATTTGATACCCTTCATTATTAGTATTATAATAAAATAGTATTATTAATTGGATTATATTACCGTAATAATATGATTTGGAGTAACTATTGTCCTCATATTTATGTCACATATGGAGTTTCTCTAAGTAGCTACCCAGAGCCTACACCGATGTATGAGCCTGCTCGACACTCCACAGGGGAATGGATGTAACCATGTAAGTATGTACTCATTAGCATTTCATGTGTATTATAAGACCTTAATATTATGTAAAAATGTGTTTATTTCATAAAAATTAAGTGTTTGAAACTAATTTAAGTGACTTTCGCCTCAAGTCAAGCCTTTTTTTCCCCTCAAATTTAAATTTATTCTTGTATAAATTGATGTTAACCTAATAAATATGTTGAATTAATAAATTATTTAGCATATCTTTATAAATTAATGGATTGCATTTGTGTTTCTATGCGTTTCCATATTTTTTCTGCGTTTCCATTGCGTTTCCGAAATGTTTCTGAAACGTTTCTATTTTTGAGTTGACCGAAACGGTACTTCGAAACGAAATTTTGATCCTTGGCCTCACCTTGAGTCCTTCTGCGGCTCGCTGTGCCTTGTGCCTAGGCACGCTTTAACAATACTTAGTAGAAATCACTGATCCAACCATCCATGTTCATTTGGTATACAAAATTGGTAAGAGTTTTAGCATACACATCATACCCTTTCGTGAAACTTATGACTTTTGATAAAAATCGCACCATGCCAACTGGCCAGAGCATACCTGGTATATATAACCATGACCGAACCCACGATCCACAGACGATTTATTCAAAAGCATGGCATCCTCCATATCATATCTGCGTAAGGTAAAGAAAACCACAAACTACAATCAATTGCTGCCAACTGATAAAGAAATCCAACATACTAATTAGAAATTCTTACCCTGAATAAGCCAAAACAGCCACTATTGCATTGGTTCCTAAAGGAAACTCGTCCACGCTGTACTTTTCATAGGCACTGGTACGTACAATGGGGTTTTGTGGAGTCTATGAAGACCCATTTGCATTGAAACATAAAAGAGGAGGACAAAACAGAATACAGAAAATGAAGACAATTAGCAACACAGATTCAAGAGATAAGAGCCATCTTAACGAGATAATAAACCGTTCAAAAATCCTATCATATTACAGAACCATTATTCCGTAGCTGGTGTTATTTCTGCATCGAAAATGCATGCACTAACAGAGACGGAAAGACATAAAAAAAAAAAACTATATATGAGAGATTACTCGATCGACACTGATCAGAGTCAACACAAAACCAAAGACAGTGCCCAGGATTATTTGGCCAGAAGAGAAATTTCAGAGAGTTTGCTGAGCTCTTAAAGAACTTACAACTAGTGTATTTTTACAGCTAATGCATGATGATAACAATTGTTATGATGTATATTTTATGTCATTTTCATCTATGTCAGGAATTTAGTTAAAAAAGGGATGTCCATCAAATTATCCATGTTTAGGCAATGATGGTGAGACCATGACTTATAATATGGAAGTCTCCCACTGTTCCCTGAAATGATTTAGCCACTATCTTAGATCTGATATTATCCATGATGGATATTTGCTAGGTATGACATTCATCTTCATTGCACAATGTTGTTTCTAAACATAAAGCTGAATAAATTATCTACTTTTTCCATTGACATCCACTAACTAGTCACACTTCAGATTTTGGAAGTGGCCGTGGGTTTCAGTTTCAGTTTCAGGTAGAAATGTATGACGTGGAGCAATCATGGTCACGGAATATGAATACTGCTGGCCAAGGGGTTAGAGTATTTCAGGAAAGAAATAACGCCATCAAGGGGTTAATGAATTTCACAGAGGAATAATGTCAAATCAAAAATCTTAGCTACTCCATTTGCAATGTCTGCCAAAAGCTGTTTGACACTGCCATTGTCTTCTGCATTCTTTATTTGGATTTTACTGCCACAATTTATTAACATTTACACTTTCATAAAATAAGAGAGAAATTTCCAGGAGGGAACAACAGTCCTGTCTGATAGTAAAAACTACGCAGTTCTACTTCTAATGTCCTTGATATGTGAGAGTACTTATCTGTAGTCCTCCCACTTTCTCATACTGAATGAAAGCCAAAAATAGCCTTTTTAGCCGGAAAGACCATTTATCTTTCGCACTAGGTGGTGTTTTTCTTTACAAATTAGGATTTAAAGTCATGATGTCGGAAATTTTGATTTTTTAAAGGGAATATTAACTATAATAAGAGAACTGAAAAGTATGATTATTACCTACTAAAATATAAAGTATGATTATTTGTTACATATATTATATTTTCCTTCGCAGCTTCAGTGTTTGTTGGCAACAAACTGGGAAATAACAAATCAGTATGTACAAGTTTCAAAACAAAATTATGTGGTCCACTATTCTTCTTCTATTTCAAAACAAAGGACAATTAATGTCATGCAATAACAAAAAACCCACTACCACTTCATTCTGTGTGGCAATTCTTGTTATAAATTCTGGTTGTCAAGTGCTTTCCTTACTAAAACTGGCAATAGCAAGCCAATAACGCTAAGTAATACTCCAAAGAAAATGTGAGATGAGGGATAACTCAATCCTGGAATTTGATCACCATCCAATCAGATGATCTAAACTTGCCCTTTGAGCATTCATCCAATATCATGATGGCATTTAGATAATAAGAAATAAAAACATCAATACTAATAGAAGAAAAACAAGGAAAATAATGGTAATAAAGGAATCAATCCATAGCAGGATTATATCAACAACATTCAATCCAACAAAACCAATGACAAAGAGTTATATTTACAGACCTGAAGATGATAAAGCTTTTGATCTGCACGACAGTGTATTGATTGTAAAGAAAAACCCATTGTTTGTTTTGCCATCTGCAATACATCAAAAACCGATGCACATAAATTCTTTACATATAAGCAGACTTGATAGATAAGCATATAAAACATCAAGGGTCTTTCAACATCCGGAAAAAACCTGGCACTGGTACATATTACGGGGGCTCTGATTATGATCAGACCAAGGCGTAAGACTTGCAACCACGCTGAGTATTCCAGTTGGATGAATCTCTCCATGAGTGGCAAGGAAATTATTTCTCCTCCCTCCATTTCCACCATCTGGACAACTTATTTCCATGAAAACCTATTCACATGATAGATTTACAACTTAGCTATTAGCAGATGATGCTTAATGCACACAAGCACCACTTTAACAGGTTAGGGAAGCCCAAATTTTTTTAATGCAGAAAGAACTCTAATAATGCAAGAGAATGTAACTAAAAAAGTAGTACTCACCTGTTCAAGAGCCCCAATTAGTTCAACATCATTACCTTCCTGAGGCGGAACAGAGATGTTTCTAACAGGGCGAACAAATCTAGAAGGACATGTGAACAGGTACAAACCAGGGTATGCTCCACCCAAGCTCAGAGGAATATATCCAACTTCCAGGTCATCAGGAATCTGCCACACATTTATCAACAAATAGTCAAGGACAAAAAAAAAAGGGATTTGAAGTAAAAGGAATTGGACCAAAACACACCACTGAGGTTGAAGACAATTTTAATTTTCGTAAGTGCGAAACTGATTTCTCGACAATATCAGATGGTATAGAGCCAACAACACGACCATCCAAAAGAACAGATAGAACTTCAGGAGGGCCAGCTTGAACCAGCTTTGGCGATGAAGGTGTCATACCAACTCCAACCAGAACACTGAGAATAGACAATCGTATTTTGAAGAAGTCCCTTATATTTCCTTGTGAATCATAATATGATGTGACACCTATCATCATGATGCAAAATAAATGTTAGTCACACCTCCTCATATACAAGTTAGTAATTAAAGAAAAATAAAATCTAACAGGCTTCACTAAGCCACCTAATTTTATATTTGTCTTGCAAATTGAAAGAACTCCAGGGAGAAATAAGAACTGGCATCTTTCCAATTAAAATATGATACACAATATGACACATAAAATGCCAAAATTCACAAGTAAATATACTGACAAATGCCAATAGCCCATAGGAATCTATCCTTGACTGAAAGACTTGAAACTAGGCATAGTATATAACACATACGAACAAGTTTTGGAGACCCACGTTCTACCGAAAGTTCGACCATTTTAAAAGTGTCCCAGAACAACTGATATAATTCTTCTGCCCTAGAACATAAAAGCAAGTCCTTATGTTTTTAACAAGGAGTGCACCACGTGTTCCCAGTGAAAATTTGGGAAAATAAAAATTTCCCAGAAAACTATCAAATAGAACATAAGTTAAATCAGTAATTAACTTAATGTCATCTGATATCTGTCAAATTGATATTTGCAACAGTAATATTATCCCAGGTTATTAAAGAAGGTTTTACAAGGCCAATCTTTTAATAAGAAAAGATAAAACACAAATAGTCCATGTTTTAATTTTTTTAATTTGTTTGCCTGGGATCTATTGTATATCGCGAGGCTTCAAAAAATATAAGAGAAAAATTACACATTTCCCCGGGACAAAGATCAAAATTTTGTTCGGTGCATAATTTCAGTGAGGTTGAACGGAAACGAGGGAAACAAAGAAAACTTTCAAAATTTATTTCCACAACATTGGTGAACCTACAAAAACATAGTCAAAACATGCCGAAATACCTCAAAACCTACCAAAACACCTCAAAAATTTGTTCGATTTCCATGAAAACAAAAACATTTCGGACGTTTCGACTGTTTTACAACGAAATTTAGTCCTTGCCCTGGGTTAGGTTTACATACAAGAGACTTCCCCACACTTTCAAAGCTCACATCAACCTCCTAGCCAAAACTATCAGAATTAATGAAGCCCAACTTCAATGAGACACTGTTTAAAATGAGAAAAAAGTTACACAAATTGTATTTCATCCATGATTGGAAGCAACCCATTGTCATTATATATAGTTGTATAAGCCACATACACAAACTTATTCACATTTATAGAGATATATAGTCATTCATTTATAAGTAACTAGATACGCAGAGCTACACAAAGATAAACAAATAAGGATACAAACAGTGAGACATGCACATAGACATTAACAATACATGAATGATAGAGCGCAAGAAAGAAAAGAGAGGACACAAAAGACAACACAAACGAATTGAGATTCACATGATTATGTGCTAGAGTAGAGACGATGAGTGTTTGAAGTTTGCGATGTGAAACAAGACATCAAGATGGCACCAACATGCCCAACAATAGTTCTACAGTATCCATTATATCTACTTCATTTACCCACTAAGACAACTCCAACATTGAATGCATCTTGTAATACATTTTCTCACATCTTGGATCATTGCTTTAGGGACTTTTGATCATGCAACTAAGTTGTCAACTTTGGCCTCTTTGTACACTACTTTTTCAAGAAACCAAAGAGTTAAAACACCTGACCTTGTCTTTCTTCTGTGTCTAGTAAAGGTTCTACTGCAATTACCCCATCAATGTGATATTATATATTTTACATATCCTTGATCTCTCTACTAACCTTCTCTTATCAAGAGCATTACAAAGAAATTAAATCATAGTGTGACGTTCTTTCATCACATTGTATTTTTCAAGAACTTGTCATGAAAGGAGAGATTGTCTTTATTTTTTTGGATTCATGAGGGCAGAACGATGATCAAATTGAACGAGCACATAATTCAGAGAGTTGTGATACTTATGAGGAGAGAGTTTGGCAAAACCTTTATTTCTTTTGTACCAAAAGTCATTTCCTTCCTTGTTTTCTAGGTTCAATGTCTTTAAATTTCATTGTGAAGTGCATGAAGCTTGCAACACATCTATTGGTTGTCATTTCTTGTTAGTTTTCATAAAAATTTTCTTTTTTCCATCGTCCATACTGATTTTAAGCCTTCTAGAATTGCTAGTTCATCACATTTCAAATGGTTTCTAATATTAATTGATAAATTTTCTAGTCCATAGTTTTATTAATTGAAGGAAAAAGTGAAGAGTTTTATTGCTTTCACATACTCTATAAAATGGTGCTTACCCAATTTCAAACTCAAGTAAAACTTGCTTGTGCCGATAATAGAGGGTACTTTTAAGATGGTCTTCGTTCTTATTTAGATAAACAAACATCAAACACCAAATACATGTAATGCTATACTTTAGAAAAATGGAGTTGCATAAAGGAAGAAACACATCTGTTAAAGTATAAATACTTAAATTACACCCTCTCTAAAAGCTTAAATTTTTAGAATATATAATTTTTTATAGTTGTTTAACATGATATCAGAGTAGAAAGTCTAATGTTCAAATCTCGTTGCCACCCTAATTATTAAAAGACTTTCACATGCTAGGCCCAAAATCTAACCTAAACATAAGAGAGTTTGTTGAAATATAAATACTTAAGTTACACCCTCTCCAACAACTTACACTTTTTGAATACATAGTTATTTAATAACTTCTATTAGACATTGCTAGATCTTTAGGATAGCTCCTACGCTATAATGGGAAGATAGGATACTTGCCCCAACATATCTAATCGCTTTCTAATTCACCTAGAGCATGTGGGTGTGTTAGTTGTCCATATTTCTAATTGTCCTAATCGTATTCAAAATAAATTAGAGCCAAAATCTACCAAATTCATTTTTCTTGGTTTTTCACCAAGACACCAACACAAGGATTTTATCAATGATAACACCATTCTTTAGGTAAGAAATTGGTTTCTATGTTAGGTTACTCTCGTTAACGTCGAGACTCATTTTTTCCTTGGAACTTTTCTTTAGGAGGAGATTTGAGTGAAGACAAAGTTTGATTTGTTTTGTCATCAGTTGCCTTCTTTCAATTGGAATAAGAGCACAAAAGTCATAATGAGAAGTAGCAAAAAACTCAGAAGGCATTTGAGGTTTTATTCCATAAAATGAGATAGAAGAATAAGATTTTCTCTCCGTTCAACTTGCCAAAAGTTTCCTCAAGTTTAGGTAATCCATACTTATTCTTGATTCTACTAATGAAATATTAGTTCTTGATTCTAATTCTGACATTCCCATTGCCCTTCATGAGGGGTTTGTTTTTTATAATCAACATACTATATCCAATGTTGTATTTTTGCCCCAACTTTTCATAATCTAATCCTCATTTTGCATCTATATTCCTCATAATTACGCTCCGACAGTGATGTGTGAAGAAATGAGCACACTATGAAAGAACGGTACTTGAGAATTGATTGCGTTACCTGAACGAAAGAAACAAGTTAGATGTAAATGGGTGTTTATAATGTTAAGAAAGAAGGCTAACTTGAAAGATACAAGGCCAAGTTGGTGGCCAAACACTTTACTCGACATTTGATAGAATGAATTGTATTGTGCCATGCTTTCATTGGTTGCAAACCTAAGTTGGTCTCACAACTTGATTTGAAAAATGCATTATTCCATGGCAACCAAGAGGAGTAAGTGTACATGAATGCTCTTCTAGGATTCAAGCTTACCTTAGATAGTAGCACAGTATGTAGAACGAGGAAATTGTTGTAAGATATAAAGCAATCTCCAAGGGCACGATCTGAGAGGCCAAGTCCAACTGTGTAAAGGTATATTTATCCCTAAGATTATGGTGATTATAACGTGTATGTTAAGCATTCTCTCAAGGGAAGGTAACTGCACTATTTATATATATTGATACATTGTACTCAATGGTGAGATATCATCCAGATTGTGAAGTTGGCCAAAGAATTTGTGAAGCATCAAGAAGTTTGAAGTACTTTTTGAGTATTGAGGTCACTAGATCTAGACAAGGTATCTTCATTTCACAACAGAAGTATGTGCTCAACCTTTTCAAGGAGACAAGAACATAGTTATCAAATCGTGTATCGGAAGGCGTATCGTAAGATACAAATATTGTATCGTATCGTGTATCGTATCGTGTATCGTAAGATACGATGCAATTTTAAATAAATAATAAAAAAATATATATACCTTTGAAAAAAAGTCATACACTCATAAAAAATATAGCATTTCATTAATACTCCACCAACTATTCAAGTTATCAACATAATCCACTACTATTATAATGCAAAGTTCACAACCATAGTTCACTAATTCAAACTTTAAACACCAAAGAGACTTCTAATCCAAATTTTTAACATCCATTTTGAACTCAATCTTCAATTTCAATTGAAAATGCATCATCATCATCATCATTGTGATCGGATGCCAACAAGTCTTCACTTGTCGTTTTTTTTTTAAAAAATCAGAGCACAAAACGACGTCGTTTTTTTTAAAAAAAAAAAAAAAATTGCACGTATCGTGCGTTTCGTACCGATACGTATCGTATCGTAAAAACGTATCGTGTATCGGACGATACAACGCAAAAACGATACATAACTACGATCCGTATCGTTTTAGGGCTGTATCGTAACGTATCGTACGATACGTATCGCGTATCGTACGATACTAACAACTTTGGACAAGAATGCTAGAGTGTAAGCCCATCGATACCCTATCAAGCAGAACCATAGGCTGAGAAAACGTGTTGACAATGCTCCTGTTCCTAGAGGCTGGTGGGCAAACTTTTTTATCAGTCTCATACGAGTTGAGATATTTTGCACACAATGAAGGAAATCAATTCACACACTTATCTCGTGATTCTTATACAGAGGTTGTTCATTGAATTGTAAGGCACCAGAAATTGGCTCCTGGTCAGAGTTATTATTTCTAAACATGATTGGCAGCAAGTGGAAACTTATGCAGACATAGACTCGTCCAGATGTAGCAGAGACACAAGATCAACTTTCAGGCATTCTACCTTTGCAAGTGGCAATCAGGTGTTAGTTGTTGCTAGGTCGAGAGCAAAGATAGAATTCAAAGCTATAACTCATGGTCTACGAATTACTGTGGCAGATTCCGAAGGGACAATAAAGTTGCATTGTACAAAAGACGCCATTTATTCATTCATTGTGTTTTTGTATGGGTTTGTGGAATAATTTATTCAAGATGGTTGGTGAGGTTTAGGTGTGTACTTCTACAGTGGAAGAATTGTTGCACATTAAGTTTCAGGGTTTTTGAAAGAAATGGGAAGCAAAGTTGTTATGGAATTGTGCTTTGATGGCACTTCTTTGGTAAATTTGGATGGAGAAGAATGCATTCTTCCTTTAGAGTTAGAATGGAAAAGAGTTTTTTTTATAGCTTCACTATGGACCAAAGCCGCATGGACTTTTAGAGGGTTAGTGTTTGTCGGACCTCCCACTAGTCCCACGGGATTGGAATGCGGCCTTGCTTTAGTTTAACCTTACAGCCATTCATTGATATTTATTGCTTTTATATTCTTTTTTAGGATATTTTGTCCTCCACAATGTATTTTGTTTTTTGATTCCCTTCTCAAATATAATTTCTTCTTTTACCAAAAAAAAAATATTATTAACAATCCAGTTCAACAGGAGAGAAGATGTTTGACACTTCATTAAAGGAAATACATATTTTGGTTTAATTTGTACTGCTTTTATGAAGAATAGAGATCAGCTTGTAGACCATTTGATAAAGCACATATCTAATATGTTGTTCCGTTTAGTTCTTGGTTGGCCGAGATGCGTCATATCTTAGAACTTTGCTTGATCATGGGTGCTAGAATTGTGAGAATTTCATCATTCCATTGTAACTGAAGGGTATTTTTGTAGTTTGAGATATCAAATTATAATTAACATAAGCTAATTAGTTATTGGGAGAGCACCCAATTCTCTCTCTTTTAAACTACTCTCTCTCTCTCTCTCTCTCCCTCTCTCTCTCACCTCTTTTTTAGTTCACATGAATACAACTGAACGATCCCATATCCGTATGCACGACAATCAAATGCATTCAGGTAAGATAAACAAGAAGCCATACAAATACAAAGCAAGGAAAATGGAAGGAAAGAGAACTAACATGTTATCTGATCCGGCAAAAAACTATTTTAGAGAGGAGGAGAGAATCGTCAAATCAAATTCCAATAATTGAATGCTCATGATGATTTCTCAAAATGACAATAACCTCTGAATGTCCCAGCCAATTGTTGCCAACACAACTACAACTTTTGCACACGTGATGGGGACCCCATGCTTTGTATTTTGATTCAGATGCAATTCAATGCTAAAAATATTATGAGGTTGGTTTTTTTTTTCTACCATTTGTCAGTTGACTAACAACAAAAAGAAGAAAAATACTCATTTATCAACAAGGAAATTAGACTTAAAAACATAGATATATACGTACGACAAGAAGAAGTCATATGATTCAGCAGCCCACATGGCTCCCCATCAGGTGTGTGAACAGGGCAAAGAAAACCCCAACCTCTGCAGATCAGCAGAAGGTAAACAGAGGAAAAAATCAAAACAAAAACTTAAAGTAGCAAAAAGAAACCATAAATGACCTAGCTAGAGAAGGAGGGAAAGAAAAATCACATACTCGGGTAACAACTTCCGCACGCTTGTAGTGCGAAGACCCGCAAAAGAAGCGCCTCGATGAATAGCTCGAAAATGTGAAAAAAACCGTAGAAAGTTGAGCCTTTCTGCCTGAACTGTCAAGCCAGCTCGCTAACAAGAAAATTGCAGGGAAAGTAAAGGACTGACATACGAGTCAGATTAAGAGTTAATTTACTACTTTAAAAAAGGAAGAGCCAAAAGGAGAGCATAGTCATTAACTTATACCTGCTGTAAATCTAGACCTGATTGTGTAGCCAATCTTCCAGTCTTCAACATAGTTTCAACAGCTGAGCTAATTTGTCTTGAAGGATATTTATCCATGACCTTCTTCACATGGGCTACTGCATGACATCAGGCCAAAAAACTTGTTCATATCAAATTCTATGCTAAAGTGTGTTAATAATAAGGTCTGAGTACTCACCTAATTATCCAGGACTTCATTAACATAAAATTACTGCAAAGGACTGTATTTCATTTATCTGGTTTTTATTTAAAACATTGTAAAAGAATAGACTATCCATGTATAGGGAATCCAGTATCCCAAAAAAAGAAAAATTTGCTAAAATATGAAGTGTCAGAACCAGTTTGACGAGGAACTCTTCCCCAGCCCCATACAAAAGGGCACTAGTTTATACTTCAAAAAAATGAAGTTTTAAAAAATCTTCCTCAACTTTTTGAACCAAGTCACAAGCAACTGCTATTACAATTAAGAAAATAACCATATATATCACCACATTTAAATCCGAAGGTCTTTAGAATTGCATGGAAAGAATGAGCAACCAATGAGTGATAAGATTTAACTGCTGCATCGGGCACTGCCCTTGCAGTACAATTGCTCACCACCATGAACAGACACCATGTATCAGGAATTGGCACCGCCATTGCAATTGTAAGGACAATCGTTACAAGCAACAGAAAACAACATATGCTTCAATTGACCCCTACCATAAAGGGATAGGTGGAGTACATCATTTTTGCCAATGTCACCGACATCTGGTTGGCAAAGCCACCCATGCAGACCGAGAAGAGAGAGAGAGAGAGAGTAGTGAACGTGCAGAGTAGAAAATCAAATCATGATACCCAGAGAGAGAGAGAGATTAAGGGAGGAAGTTGGTGCTTGCAAGTGACGTTAGAAGATCAATGTTGGAAGAATGGAGGAGTTAATGCTTTGACCAAAAAACAAAGAAGCCATTTATGCCTTTGGCATTGCCCTTTGGTTCTTAGTTGGAGTTGTGCATACACTGGTGTAGCATGGGTGACGTAAGTACACCAATTTGCAAGTGTTTCCCATCCGAGGAAAATGGGCAGAAGTGTTGCAAAACAAAGCAAGATGTGAGCAGTTAATATGTCCCATTGAAGGCAGATATAAATGCAGGGATGTGAATGGGATAACCAAGCAAGCGGAGGGTAAATTTGTAAAATCACACATCAGGATAAAATTTGATGCTGCCACTTTTATTGGGGGTAGTGGATCATGAACTTTTGACAAAAACAAACAACTAAAGCCTATAAAGGTTGAAATATAAATTGCAGAGGAAATCTCATAGTGACCCACTGGTCCCGCCTAATCTCGCATTCTGCATATTCTGTGATGCAGCAAGCTAACAAGAATGACCGTAAATTGGGACTTCCCTACTGGACTCATTGTAGACTTTTTTGTGATAAATTTTTCTTGGACCAAACCTTATCATATCTCTAACAAACGATGTATATCTGCTGCTGTGTGATCTATTTTAGGAGCCATGTATACTTTGTATCTACAACATCATATGACCACGGTTGAAGTGGCAGTCCAAAATATATCCCGAGCAATTTCACAAGTTTTAATATAAAGCCCTTATTTTTCAAATTTTCACCCCAAAGATTTGCATAACCATTTTTATACCTCTAGTATTTAGGTAAACAAGGACAACAATTTAATTGTCCTTGTCTAGAAACTCATTCTTCGAAACTCTACCAACTGTTCATCTTCAATTCCAATCCTTTCACAGTCCACAAATCTGAAAATCTTCATTTACGTACTAAACCTTTAAGCTAAAAGCTTTCAATAATGTATGCTAAACAAGGGTCTGCATGTGGGGGAAACAAACAAACAAATAAAACACTCTAGCTCCTAGAGCACTAATTAGCATGCAAGACCAAAGCTAAATGGAAGGAGAGGATCAGGGGCTGGGGAGTTCCCCTATCCATCACAAATAGTGCTTTTGTAAATCTTTACTTCATAGGGTTTATCCACCCTCCAAGAGATATCACCGAACTCATTACCAACATGAAAAGGTCTCCTTTGAACTTGCATAAATATTTACAAGAACCTTCAGAATCTCCTCGGAAGGCACATATCTTTAAAAATAGCACCTTAGTTTATTTAGTTGGATCCAATCATATTCTTCTAATTCCACCGCATTTCTTACAATTAAATTAAATTATTTCGATTGTTCCCACTGGCCATTCAATGAAGTAATGCAGAAAAAATTGAAATGAAAAGAAGCTGTCATTGCCACCTTAAGTATCCAGCAAGCATCAGCTTTTCCTTCTATTATCCCCTCATGAGAAGAATATCTTCAATTAATGCGGTTTTTTTTTTTGTGGGGGAAAAGATATCATCTCAAGTTAAAATTTAAACTAGGGCGTTTGTTCAATAGATTCTGCATCACTCAAACGTCAAATCCCTAGCACAAATGTCACAAAGTCTACATATTCATGCATGTGTTCCCCTCCAATCCATTGACACATTATTCAGAAATACCAATTTTCATCAACAGAATAAAGTTCATTGATTCCAGAATAGACAAGAAAGATAAAGGCAGTAATATGCATGTGATGAGTGATGACAAACTAAAGGTATGAAATCAACATATTTGGCTCAATTAATCAACATTAATAATGAGTAACATGCATCGTTTTGAATAACTTCCATGTCAAAAATGGCAGTGTTCTTTAGCAATAAAATTATAAACTTCATGCTAAAAGATGGAAGGGAGGTGAGGGGAGGGGAGAGGATTGTCAAAAAGAAAAAATCAACTCATCACAAGAGGAAACATATTGAGAACAAGCTAATCTGTTTCACCAAATATATGAGAGGAAGGGTAAAGCATACAGCTGTTGAATTCGAATTTCTTGCTCTTGCTATTGATTTCATCCTGAAGTAGACGTCTCACCTTGAGCAGCCAATCTTGTAGCTTTTCCTGGATACAACAAGAAATCAATGGGGCCTGTAATCACTGTACGAACCTAAAAAACTTCAAATGTAGCTCAACGTATCAAGTACTACAAGGAGAATTTGCAACTAGTACTTAAAAGTTTACAACAGGTAATTAAACAAATGAAAAGAACTCATGGTCCTAAATTTTGGATCACTACCTCAAAGTGTATTTGCAACAAAACGAGGAATAAGTACAGTTAGATGGACTATTAAAAAAATGAAGAGAACTCGTAGTCCTGAACTGGGACCAATACAATCAAATATTTACTTAAGCATACAACTATCGGATGCTAATGTCTCTCGGCTTGAAATGGAAGTTTTATTAAAGAAGCCAAAAAGAACCATGAAACCACTTCACCTGTCCAGCCAGCAGTTAATATTCTAGGGAAGATGGCTGTTAGTAAATACACTGCACAAATAGTAAAGAGGAATGCGGCTTTGTCCGGAAAGTGACTTTGGAAGTTTCATTATCCAGAGTAAGTATGGAGTCCATGCCAATGGATGGGAATCCAACGTGGTGAGTCTTTCCATAATCCTTGTAAATTTATTTCCCAACGTTTGGATGATATTAGAATGCATGTTATTTTCAGAGTGGGGAATGGGGAAAGAGTACGTTCTTGGGAAGATATTTAATCTGCTAAGTCATCTTTGGCTTTGTTGTTTTCTCGGCTCTATAGATTGTCGGGTTCTCATAATATTCCCATAGCATGTTTAGTACTTATCCTTCCCACGGGGGTGGAACTTTAATAATTTTTGTAGTCTAATTGATTGGGACATCATGGAATGTTCTTCCCTTGTTTCTTTGCTTTATTTGGTTTCTTTGGGTTTCTTGGTTACTAATAGAACGTTTGGTCCCTTCATTCTTCCAAAAAAAAAATTGTTGCTCCTATTTTCAATGGTTGAATGATGTCCCAAATGCTTCTATACTTAAACCTCACTTGATGATTTGGAAGGTAAGGGTGTATGTTAAGGTGCAACTGCTTGCTTGGATGATAACTCACGGTAAGGTACATACTTGTGACATGTTGCAAGACAAAAGACCTAACACTTATATTTCCCCTCGTTAGTGTATTATGTGTAAGCAATGTTGTGAAAGTATTGATCACCTTTGCTTTCATTGTCTGTTGCTATTTTCTTATGGCATAAGTTTTGGTGGGAGACGAATTTGAAGTGGATTTCACATTGCCAATGTGTTTCATTGTTTGTGATATGTTTTGATGATTTTTGACTAGTAATAAAGCTTCCACTTCGGGGAGATGCGCTGCTTTGGTCATTTTTTAGGTGGTGTGGAAATCTTCAAAGGGAGGAGGAGGAAAAAGAATAGTTATGAGATAGAGTAAAGTTCTTGACATCTCTCGGTAACAAATGATGTTCATGAAACTCCATCTGTTTTCCAACTCAATTGGAAACCGTTTAATTTCTTTAAACTTTTTATTTTTTTAGTGAATTCCTATCCATCATTTATGTACATGTGCATCTTTCATTCTTTGAAAAGAAAGTTTTGTTTCATATCAAAAAGTAAATACACCGCACAACATTCAACTAATATACTGTTTTGTTTGGGTCCTATATAACAAACATAACAAAACCATTGGGTCTCCAAGCCTGGCATACAAACTACTGCCACCGAAAGCAGAATTTTCATAGCCAAAAGAAACATGTTAGCAACCTATATAAAGTAGCAATAAAAAGAAAAACCCATATGAGGTGCAAAGCCATCATATATTAAAAAAATAATTCCACACGGTTGAAGATTTGAAACCACAAGCATTGTTTTATTTTGTATCTCTTCAAATGAAAGAGGAGAAATCTCTGAACACTATAATGTTTGTGATACAATTGAAGGAAGACAATAATTTGGCAATGATTTTAATGGAATTATAAGTCATAGTTTGCAAACCGATCTCATGAATATCCTGAATAATTTTTTTCCCATCTAATTAATATGCATTTCCAATGCATCGCAAAGAACCGAGTATTACACTGCAATCCCCATTTCAGTTATTAGATAAATTTATGCTCTGGTTACAGACAATTTTTGGCATATAATGTCCTACTCTACCTCTACTTTACACCATAAAATACTGAAAAAAAAGGCAAAAAAAATCAATACTTGATAAATTAGATTAATTAAACAGCCTCAATAGTCATGTTACGTACAAAATTAGAACAGAAATGAACCATTTCGTTTCACATAATGAATTTCAAAATATACCTTGACATAAATTATAATTAAATGACCAGGCAGCAACACTTCCTGATTTTGCAAGGAATCTGGGTTGTCAGGCACAGAAGTCTGATCCACAAGAGAAAATAGCTTCTGCAGCATGAAGCTAAAAGAGAAGAACTATGTGAAGAATATTTGGACAAAATTCCACCCAAAAAATTAAAACAACAAATAGAATAAGAAAGGCAGTTCCATTAAGCAATAGAAAACGGCAAGTCACACACATCATCAGAATATTATCTTGAGAACACAAATAAGAAAACCTAAGGTATTTAGGGAAAGTAGCTAACATGAGCAGATTGAATTTTTCATGATTGCTATCAAGGTGGACAAATATGTAGTCTTTCAGAACAGCATCTCCAACCTACAAAACCAAGAAGGAAAATGAAAGTAACCAGAAGACAAAGTGTCTCATGAAACAGATCCCAGAAAAAAGGCCCTATTTCATTCGGTTTTCTTCTCTATTCTATCCAAAAAGAAAAAGGTTTGTGGATCCATTAAAAATATAACTTACAACAGAGTAACCCTCGTTTTCGAGCCCGTCCATAGCAGGTTGAAAGTGTTCCCTGAATAATGTAGCAAATTAACGCATGTGATGTATATGTATATTCTGACTAGTATTGAACTATGACGAATAACATGGGTAAGTACCAATATGCTGCAGACACTGGATGCGTGTAAAAAGAGATAAGTCCCGAACTTCATCCAGAATTATTTTCACCCTTTCACCAACAAGCTGAGTGCCAACTGATCCCTTGACACTGTCGTATTTCTCATTGTAGCAACACGTCAAAGTCACATAGATTTCATGATCAGTCGTGTCAGCAAGGGCCTGTTATAAGAGGTAGACACCAAAACTCATTTGTGATTGAAACACCAGCAGCAAGAGGGTTACTTCTCCAATATTGAAGATGATAAAACAAAGTACGGACAATAAAGCAAAGTACACGTCCAGAAAATACAAAAAAAGGAGATCCTGAATACAATGCTTATAATAGAAGTCAACTAAGTCCCCGTTTGGAACAAACTAAAATCCAGCTTATCAAGTTAACAAGCTGAGGATGGCTGTTTGGCCAAAATTATGCCAGCTTATTTAAGCATTTTATAACTTAAATACCCCATAATCTGTGAGCAGCTCATGGGATACTTACAGGCTTTTGACC